GGCCGCAGACGCGCCAGCCAGCGCCGAGCCGCCATCGCAATCGCCGCCGCGTGATCTACGCAAACCACGTTGCGGGTGGGTTAGTGGGTGGATGATTGCGCGAGCAGTGGAGTGCGCAACCCACTGCGAACAGACATTAGCTCTCCTTGCTGAGAACTATTCGAATAAACCTCCCACCCCCAGAATTGACAGGTCACCATTTTCGCGCGCGAATTACATGTGATTCTACCCTATCGCCCACCCGAAATATGAACTCGTAGCGTCCCGGGCGACGCCCATCGAACCCCCCCCCCGCGTCCTCTAAAACAAATTGCCCTGCGCGCGCTCGCTGTCAAAACTCGGAAACATGAGCGAAATGCACGCGCGCGCTAGTCGTCGCGCGCGCGTGCCGGAATTATTCAGAAACAATCGGTGTCCTGAGGATTTTGAAGTCGAGCGCCTCGAGCACATAGTCAAAACCAAGGGTTGCGCAACGTAGCTTTTCAAACCAAAGAAAAAACGTTCCATCGCGCTCTTGCGCATTCTGAAGAAAACCATGGTTTGTCCACAGTTCCATCAAATGCACCAAAGCGCACCTCTCCCGCGCACGCGCTGTCGCAATAATCCCTTTCAAATGGCGGGGCGAAGTTCACGCGCGCGCGCCGTCGCGCGCGCGCGCGCCGCAATCCTTCAAAAACGGGGATTTCGCGAAGGTTTCAACGTGGAGTGCCCCGACAACAAGTAGCGCGCTTTGCAGCGTCCGCTTACAAAAAAGAATGCGCGCGCGCACTGCCGAATCTTTAAAAACAAGTGCATTTTTTGAACATTGCTGTCACTTTTTCAACAGAAAAAAAAGTCCCGCCTGGGTGTCGAAATCGCTCGCGCGTTCTTGCGCGCGCGCTGGGGGAGCGGCGGGGCCCCTGCCAAATAATGCCATGCGGGCCACTCGCGCGCGCCGGCCACGCGCGCATGATGAAATCCTCATCGCAACCTTCATCGCCGACGCGAGGATACCATCATTGTTAGAAGCGTAATCCGCATCGGCGCCGTCATTGGCCAGGCCGCCGTCATTGTCACCATCGCCACCAGCATCGCTACTATCATCGTCGCGTCTGCAGTTGTGGACGTCGCCGCGGTGCCGCGTCCGCCCGAATCACCGACTCGCACTGAAGTGCCCGCGCGTCGCCGCGGCCTGCGCGACGCGCTGGGAACTCACCCGCGGTCAGCGCCGCCGCGGCCGCGTCGGTCGCGTCAGGCTAGCAGGCCGCTTTGCGCGCGAGCCTGCGCGCTTCCGCGGACGCGGCGATGCGCCAGCCAGCCAACCATCGCAATCGGCGCCGCACGGCTTTCGCAAGCCAAGTTGCGGGTGGGTGGCTGGAATGATTGCTTGAACAATGGAGTTGGCAACTTCAAGTTCGGCGATGTCCCTTTTCCCAATGCAGATTGCACAACGCAGATTGTTCCATGTATCTATATATATATATTACACAATACACGTTGCAAAACATAGTTTGCACCGTACATATGCTTGTATACTTATGTGTGTGCATGTGTATATGTATGTGCATGCACATGTGAATGTATATGCAGTTGTACATCAATATGTATATGCACATTGATGTAAGTCTGATTACGCACATGTATACGTATATGTGCATGTATGTGTGTGTGGGTACGTACATGCGTGTATATGTACTCGTAGATGCGTATATGTTAATGTGTCGATCCACGTGTGTAGGTGGATGTGTCTGTGTATGCGTATATGTGGATATGCGTGTATGTGCACAGTCGCGCGTATGCGGAGAAAAAAGGTAGATGTAAATGTATATGGGTCTGCACCTGTACATGAACATGCAAATGGATGAGCATGTAGATGTACATTGCATGTGCATGCCTAAGTATACGCGTACGGTTCAAGCCTCATACGCCCTCACAATGGATTCGACATCCGGTCGCCCTGTCGCTTGACCTCCTGACGTTTTGCGCAGGCATCGCGATATCGCTGAGAATTTCCTTACAACCTATTCAGGCGCCCCGCCCTCGACTCCCAAGAACCGCTCCCTCGTACTCACTCAGGACTCGTGCTCTTGCCCGAATGTTGTTTTGTAATTTGCGAAATTCGCTTGATTGCCCCGCGCGCCCGCCCCGCCCGTCAGGGCCCCCGCCCGCCCGACCCACACGTTAAGGCCCCTGCTGCCCGACCCGCCCGTCGGGTTGCGTTCGTTCGCCTCCTTGGAAGCCCGTGCGCCCGCTTCCATGCCCCACCCGCCCGGCCCGTCAGGGCCCCGGCCCGACCCGCCCCTTCGAATCCGCCTGCCCGACCCGCCTATTAGGGTCTGTCCGTGCGATTCGAGGGAGCGTTATGAGCATGGGTGTGGGTTGTCGGACCCCGAAGGGGGCTCCCATTCGAACAGGGTTTCTCGTCCGGCAGAACATCCACAGCCCCTCCCCATCGGAACTTCATCCCGGGAATTCTGAAGGTCGTACAGGCATGGGTGCGAGTTGTCAGCCTATGATGACCAGCCCGCTAAGGTCCGCGCGCGCGACCCGCCCGTTTGGGTCAGCCCGCCTGATCCGCCCGTTTGGACCAGCCCGCCAGACCAGCCCGTTAGAATTCGCCCGTTCGCCTGCGTGAAGCCCACCCGCCCGCTTCCCGCCCGACCCGCTCGCCAAGGTCCACCCGTCCGACCCGCCGATTAAGGTCCGCCCGCCCGACCCACCCGTCAGGGTCCGCCCGCCCGACCTGCCCGTCAATCCACCTGTCCGCGTGCTTGGAAACCCTCCGCCGCTATAGTGCCCCGCCGGTCCGACCCACCCGTTCGGGTCCGCCGGTCCGACAGCAATGAGGGCCGGCCCACCCGACTCGCCCGTCAGGGCCCCGTCGCAAATGTGTGTTCCTCTCTGCTCCCGCTCCTACTTCATCTCCTTTACCCACAATCCTCCTCCCTATCTCTTGCTCCCCTCCTTTCTCGTTTCCTCTCCCGTGCCTCGCTCTCTCCCTTTTCCTTTTCCCTCCTCCTCCTCCTCCTCTTCTCCACCTCCTCCACCTCCTCCTCCTCCTCCTCCTCCTCCACCTCCTCCTCCTCCTCCTCCACCTCCTCCTCCTCCCATGTCAAGGGCCGTCAGGCCGAGGCAATTTTCAAATGCCTCGCCACCGCGGATAAGCGGTGCAGCCTGGGCTCCGTGTGGCACCGCCTGAATGCGGTGTGGGTCCGATGATGTCACGCTCCTTATCCCGCCCGCTCGCGGGTGCGATAAGGAACGGGCGGAGGGCGGCACTTCCCTCTGGGAGGTTCGTGGTCGTTCGTTGTCGTCCTTCGTGTTTCGTTTCGTCGTCGTGTCCGTCGCCCCTTTCCTCTTTGGGAGTTGCGGCACGGCCCTGGATTAAGTTCCGGGGTGGACGTTGTTTGCGCTCCTGGGCCGGAGAGTGGCCCCTCCCCCCTCCCCGCCCTGCTGCCGCCGCTGTCGCCGTTGCAGCTGTCAGGCCAGGGCTTTTAGTGCCCTGCCACCTCGGCCAAGAGGTGCGGCCTGGGCGCGGGGAGACCCCAGTGGCACCTCCTGGTCTGAGGTGAACCTCCGTTGACGATCACGGAGGCGGGGCCCGCGGCTTCCCGCCTGTAACCTCTTGGTTGCAATGCTCTTTGCCGCGGGCACACTGTTGCCGTGCTTGTGAGGGTGCGGGCGCTGGGCAACGCTCCGTGTATTGTCCCTTGGGCGCCAATCCCGAACCCCCACGCGCCATTTTGGCGCGGGGTGTAGGGCGGTCCTTGGTTTGCTTTCTTTTTCTTGATTTCTTCCCTAAGGCACAGCGTTTCTGGCGCTATTGGGAGTTAGTCAAGGAAAGGAGGCTGGAGGTCAGGTCTCAGCTTGTGTCCGTGATTCCCTCTTTTTGCGCGTGTGCCCTTGGTTTTGGCCGTTGGCCATTTTGGCTGTTGGCCAGGGCACGTTGGCCCGCGCTTTGCTGAGCGCCACGGTTTTGTTCTGCCTTTTGGGTCCCAGTCAAGGGCCGCGCCCATTACACGTGGCAGACAGCAGTGAACCACCACAAAGGCGGGCATCGACCGAACACGACAATGGCGGGCATCGAGGACGCGTGGGCATACGCGTTGAGCGGCGCGCGCGCGACGACGAGCAGACGGCGGTCTTGAGCCGACGGGAGGTGCTGCCCGTGTCGTCCTCGTCGTCCTCGCCCCGCGACCCGCCCGCGCCGCGCCCCACCCTGGCGGCGCGCACCGGGAAAGGAGGGGGGAGGGCGGAGGGCCCCTTCGAGGGAGAGGCTGCCTCCTGGAAGGCGCCGGGGCTCCCACAACCTCGAGGCGAGGCCCGCGGCCGCCGAGACGCACGGGGTGCTTCCGAGGAGCCCTCCCCGCCTCTCCCTTCCCCCCCGTCCGCGCGCGGCCGGCCCACCCGCGCCGCGGCTCCGCCGCGCGGCCCGCGCCGCGCCGCGGCCACCGCGCCCGCGACCCGCGCCGCGACCTGCGCGCCGCTGCGCCCGCCGTGGCCGCCCACCGCGGGCGCGCGGCCGCGGGCGCGTGGGGCGCGTGGGCCGCGCGTGGCCGCGCGCCGCCCGCGGCCGCGCCCCACGCGCCCGCTCTGTGGATGTCTGCCCGCCGGTGCCCCGCGTGTGTGTGCCGGCGTGTCGCTCTGCCTGTCGGTCTGTCGGTCTGTCGGTCTGTCTCTCTCTCTCTCTCTCTCCCTCCTCCTTCCTCTCTCTCTCGCTCTCCCTCTCTCGCTCGCTCTCTCCCTCTCCCTCCTCCCTCCACTCTCCCTCGCTCCCTCTCTCTTTCCCTCTCTCTCTCTCTCTCTCGCTCCCTCTCTCGCTCTCCCTCCCTCTCTCTCTCTCTCTGTATTCCTCCGTTTCTGCATCCCTCACCCCCGCATTCCTCCGCAAGGCGGGCTCCGCCGAGGGAGCCTCTCTCCTTCTCTCTTTCTACATGCCTCCTTCTCTGCATCCCTCCCTCCCGCATCCCTCCGCAAGCTGGGCTCCGCCGAGTGAGCGGGAACACGCGGGGGTGGCGGACCTCCGCATGGTACTGGGAGACCCCACGGTGCTCCTGGCATGCGGGACAGAAAACAGCACGACATCGGAGGGTCGGGACACGGATCGCCGCGACTCCCCATCAGGGGACACGTTCTCATTATCCTCATATTGTTGATGCTGCCGCTGCTGTTGTGGCTATTCCTCATCCTTCTACTCGTCCTGCCTCCCCTCCTGATTTCCTCCCCACCTCTTCTTTATCCTTCAGATATGTCCTTCCTCCCCTTCCACCTCCCTCTACCATTCCAGTGGCTCCCGGTCCACCTTTTTATCATCCTCCATCTTCTTCCCCTCCTTCACGTCACGAACGTGACGCGTCGGGTTGTGTTGAAGTAGTCGTGACGACCTTCCTCGAAATCGCAGTCAAAAAATGTTCCAGGTCAGGCATCGGGGTCGACTTGGAGAAGGGAGGGAGGAACGAGGGGAGCGCGCCCGCGACAAAAGGACGCATACGAGGGCGCCTGGGCAGGGTACACCTGCAACCTGTTGGCTTCGCTTACGCTGCTCAGTATGCTTGTACGCACATGCTGTGGGCACACACTGGACGCCCGGCAACTGATGTCAAATGTTCATTCGCCCCCTGCGCTGCAAACGCTGGCACGGCCAGGCCCGATCCCAGCATGCCTGCCCTATACTACGTCCCGGTGTTTATCCAGCGCCTCGCCCGGATGTCAGTAGCAGCGCACCTGATCGGCCAGGACGAGCGGGTGGAAGGAACGCCGAACATGATTTGACAAGTTCTCGAAGTGGAGTCCAGCCATGGAGGCGAGAAGCCTCCCAGAGGCCCAGACCACCCGACGACGTCCAACAGCTCGTATGCTCGAGCCGAAACGCCGAAGACGACGACGACGTCGTCCAGAGGCCTCGCGAGGCCACCGGCGGAACGCCCCCCCCCGGCGGGGTGGGCCCAGGAAGAGCCCCAGCAACGCACCAACAAAAAAAGTTACCCTCGAGGACAAGGTGCGAGTCGGAGGTTGATCCATCACCGCCACATGGAGCGTCGATCTTCGGGGACCTCAGATGGCGGTGGACATGGTATACTTCGCCCCCCCCCCCACGCCCACCCCTTCCCACCCAAGAGCCCACATATATACACCCATCACCCATTTATATACACACACATAAGTTCATATATATATATATATATGTACACCGATGTATGTATATATATATATAACTCTGCATTGGCGCTTCGCGCCATGCATCTTGGCCCCACAGGATCGGCGCGCAGGCGGCAGGCGAGGCGCGGAAGAGAAAGCGAGAGAGAGAGAGAGCAAAACAAAAAGAAAAAGGGAGAGAGAGAGAGAGAGAGAAAACAAAAAAGCGAGAAGACCCACAAGGACGAAGGCTCCTTGTCGCCGTTAGCCCCATAGTTGCTACACATTTGTTTTCGATCACTTGTCCCCCACGTTTCCTCATCATTTTTACTCGTCGTTTGCGAACGCGTCCCTGTTATCATTTTTTAGTTTTACTGCGTGGCCTCCTCCTTGGAGGGCTTTCTGGGAATCAAGCGAAAGCCTTTTTGGGCTTCTGGTGGTTTTTGAATGCTTTGTTGATCCTTCAGCTCTTCCCTGGAAACAGTCCTGAAACCCGCCTTCCGATGCATGCAGTGCCAGGCGCGCAAGTCTAACTGTCCGAAGGCAATCACATAGGCATGGTAAGTTGAATTGGAGAGCGAAATATCATCCCCCGAGTGAAGGTTCGGACAATACCACTTGTGGGATAACCAAGTCAAACATCCTGCAGACGTGAATGTGTGCATGATCAGGATGCAAAGCCATCCGTGTGATATGAATTCAAGACACAGTCCCATGCCAAGGATTGATCTGATCGCATGTGTATGGGGTCCGACCCCTGGTGTCCCAGCTTCTGGAGCTGTCCCAGAAGGGGAAACACGCACGGAGTGAGAGGCGAGTCCCTGCTTTTGGGCGCTCCCAAGTTTTCTCAGAGGCCTTTTTTTCCGTGTTAGTGCACGGTGCTCAGGGTCAGATATATAACATCCGGCAGCTCAGGGTTGTGCTCGATAGGAGTTGGATTCCTGACCAAAGTGTGTGTGTTTTAGGAACCGGAGCCCGTTTGGGGTGACGTTAACCCGTCCGGCCTTTTTTAGATTTGGCTTATTTCGAGTTCGAGCTTTCTCAGAGGTCCTTCTGGACCGTTGTGGGGGTTCGCTGTTCCCCTGACGGCCAGGCGCGGCCAACAGCGCCGGCCAGAATGGGCCTCGCGAGGGGTTCCTCCTCCTCCTCCTCCTCCTTCTCCTCCTCCTCCTCCTCCTCCCCCTCCTCCTCCTCCTCCTCCTCCTCCTCCTCCTCCTCCTCCTCCTCCTCCTCCTCCTCCTCCTCCTCCTCCTCCTCCTCCTCCTCCTCCTATGGGGGACCCATGCGGAGCGGATGTGGTGGTCCGACAGCCGTCGCTGTCCAGGTTGTCCAAGTCGCCGGCAGCGCGCGAGAAGTCGAAGTCGTCGCCCTCGTCGTCGTCGCCGCCGTCGTCAAACTCGTCGTCGTCGTCGTCGTCGTCGTCGCCGTCGCCCTCGTCGTCGTTAACGTCGTCGTCGCCGTCGTCGTCGTCGCCGTCGTCGGAGCCCTCGTCGTCGTCGACGCCGCCCTCGTCTTCGTCGTCGTCCAAATCGTCGTCATCGTCGTCGTATTCGTTGTCGTCGTCGCCCTCGTCGTCGTCGTCGTCGTCGTCGTCGTCGTCGTCGTCGTCGTCGTCGTCGTCGTCGTCATCGTCGTCGTCATCCAGTGGTTGTCGGCGGCGTCCGAGTCGTCGATGTCGTCCGAATCGTCCCCCTCGTCGACATCTTCCAAATTGGCGTCGTCGTCGTCGTCTTCCAAGTCATCGTCTTTTTCGTCGTTACCGTCATCGTCGTCGTCATCATCGTCGTCGCCGTCGTCGAGGCTCGAGCGAGAGAGAGGGAGACGGAGCGGCGCCCGCCGGCCCCGCCGCCCGTCCACGAGGATGTCATTGCCGGGCGCCCGGCCGATGCGGATCGCCTGCGGAACGGGGGAGGGGAGGAGAAGGAGGAGGAGGAGGAGGAGCAGGAGGAGGAGGAGGAGGAGGAGGAGGAGGAGGAGGAGGAGGAGGAGGAGGAGGAGGAGGAGGAGGAGGAGGAGGAGGAGAGGGGAGGAGGAGGAGGAGGAGGGAGTAGGAGGAGGAGGAGGAGGAGGAGGAGGAGGAGGAGGAGGAGGAGGAGGAGGAGTGGCTTCCGCCGTTCAGTCGTGCCCCCTTCCTCGTTTACCTCTTGGATTCCTTGCCCTCCCTCTGGCGTTGGCCGGCAGGAAGGTCAACGAGGGAGCCACCCATGATCGAAAGAACCGTCCGCAGCCTTAACCCTAGATGGCGGAGGACGAGCGCAATAACATGAGAGGTGGAGCGGGGAGGAAGGGGCGGCGGAGGAAGAGGTAGACAGGGGGGGAGGCACAGGAGGAGGAGGAGGAGGAGGAGGAGGAGGAGGAGGAGGAGGAGGAGGAGGAGGAGGAGGAGGAGGAGGAGAGAGAGGTCTGGCAGATGAGCACGGAGGAGGAAGGCGGGGAGGAAGAAAGGGTATGCGGAGGGGCGGAGGGCAGTGGTGGAGGAGGAGGGCGCTCTGGGAGGGAGGCGGAGATCGAACATCGAGAATCGGGCTTCGAGGGTTGAACGGATTTCTCGCAACGTCTGCCTCTGGAGGCCTGTGTTGGGCCCTCACTCATAAGGGAAATATGCACTCGTCGTGGAGAGCCCTCGTCACCACGGCTGTATTCTCCTCGAAATTCTGATCATAATGCACCCCGGGAGCGGTCTGGGGAGTGGCGGTATCGGGATCTTTTTGTTCCTCCCAACAACACCGACGAGCCTTGACCGCAGGGCGAAAAAGCGGCCAGGATGGATCCCGGAAGGCGCCTAGACTCCAAGGACGTCTGTCTTTTTTTTCTGAGAGTGACTTCAATAATTTCTGGTTTTAAAGATTGTGCTGCGATGGCCCCTCTGTTTCTGCCATAGAGCCATGGCCACGACAATCGGCGCTAACGTGGAAGCAATCTCAGAGTGAGGGGGCTAAACCGAACGGTCATTCACCGTCCCTGGGTGCGTGGCTGAAGTGGAATTCCGCGATGCGGATTCTTGTTGTTTGTTGTTGTCGTCGTCCCAACGGCGACCCGCCCCGCGACCCACCCGCGACCCACCCCGCGACCCACCCGCAACCCACCCGCGACCCACCCCGCGACCCACCCGCGACCCACCCGCAACCCACCCGCGACCCACCCGCGACCCACCCGCGACCCACCCCGCGACCCGCCCGCAACCCACCCCGAGACCCCCCCGTCGACCCACCCGCGACCCACCGGCGACCCACCCGCGACCCACCCGCGACCCACCCCGCGACCCACCCGCGACCCACCCGCGACCCACCCACGACCCACCGCGACCCACCCGCGACCCACCCGTGACCCACCCCGCGACCCACCCAAAATTTTCGGCGCCTGCGGCGGGTGTCTTTGCATTCGTTCCAGGTGGAGAACCTGCGACCCATGCGCGACCCGAACCGCGCCCGCGACCCACCGCGACCCACCCGCGACCCATCCGCGACCCACCCCGCGACCCACCGAAAATTTTCGGCGCCTGCGGCGGGTTTTTTTTGCATTCGTTCCAAGTGGAGAACCTGCGACCCACCCGCGACCCAGACCGCGTTCAGTGTACAAATCAAAATGTTCGGCGCCTGCGGCAGGCTGTTGTTGAATTCCTTCCAGGTGGAGGTGGAGAGCCGGCGACCCACCCGCGACCCAAACTACAGTCACTGAACAAGCCAAAAAATCGGCGCCTGCAGCGGGTTTCTTTTGCAGTCGTTCCAGGTGGAGAACCTGCGGCCCAAACCGCGTCCAGTGTACAAATCAAAATGTTCGGCGCCTGCGGCGGGCTGTTTTTGAATTCCTTCCAGGTGGAGGTGGAGAGCCCGCGACCCAACCGCGACCCAAACTACGTTCACTGAACAAGCCAGAAATTCGGCGCCTGCAGCGGGCTGTTTTTGCATTCGTTCCGGGCGACCCACCAACGATCCCCCCCGCGCTGAACTTGTCAGAGCACGCAAATCGGCGCCTGCGGCGGGCTTGCTCGCATTGGTTTGGGAAAACGCCCTCGTGCCATTCCCCCGATCCGGCCCACGTTGACTTTACAACAGCACATCGGCGCCTGCGGCGGGGCTGTTGTAGAACGAGGGCGCCATCGACAGGGAAGGTGAGGGCCACGAGGTCCGCCGGCTCGACGCCCGCGTCGCCCGCGCCCGCCCCCTCACTCTTATCCGCAATTGCGGGGTGCTACGTATCTGGCGGGACGTGAGACGAGCCCCACTCCGGCGCTCTGGCACGGGCTAGTCACAGCATGGATGACGTCGTGATCTCCCTCGTCGTGCGGTTGCACCTCTTCGTGGGTTGCGCTCGTTGAGGAACGGATCGAGGACTCGGGCACGAGAGTCGAGCACAAGTCCTCGCACTTTCGCCTTGTGGAAGCCCGCTTCAGGCCCCAGCACAGTCAAGGGGGTGATGCCGCGAAGGGGCGGTAGGGGCGGGCACCGAAGATCAGTGCTCTTGGGCGGAATTGCCTATCGTGCTTTCGATCCTCCGAAAGCATCCGACGTCCTCCGGGGGAACCTCGGAGACCTCCAGAAACCCCTGGGCTCCGCGTTCCTCCTGGTCCTGCCCCCGATTTTCCTAATCCCATGTCCTGATTCCGTTCCTCATCCCCCTTCTCCACATCCGACATGCTGTTACGTTACGCCGAAGTTGACCGAAGCGATCGCCGCGTCTGCCACATCCCACATCCTCCTCCTCCTCGCGCTCCTTCTCCTGCTGTTCACAAGCCAGCTCCATGCCATCATCCCTTAGTCGTCGTCCTCCTCCTCCGCCTCCTCCCCCACTAATCCTCCGCCTCCCCATCTTCCCCCTCATTTGCCTCATTCAGGGCTCGAGCTAACCAGTGTCTTTCTCTTTCGCTTCGTTGTCGCTGTCCTTTGTCCTGCCTTCTCTCTGCCTCTGCCGCGAAACGAGATCCAGACGAAACAACAGCCCGTGCAGTCGCCAAAACACCGCCTGGCTCGAGCCCCGGCACCCTCCGCTCCTCTGGCCATCCTGCCCCGAGCGCCCCCCCCCCACCGAGACCTCGGCTCGGGTGCCCCGGCCGCGTGCCGAGCCATCTGCCCCACCTCCCCCTGGCTGCTGCTGCTGCTGCTGCTGCTGCTGCTGCTGCGCATCCTGCTGCTGCTCCTCCTCCCTTCCCTTCCTTTCCTTATATATATATATATATATATATATATATATATATAGGTGTATGTACTTATACTTATATATATACACTTAATATACACTACGAACCCTTAGAAGAAGGACGCACGAGAAGGACGCAAGGGCCTTGGACGGCCATGTCGGCACTTTGCGGGCGGGGCGCGGCCAGCGAACGCGGCCAAGGATGGGCTGGAGGGAAGGACGCAAAGGGCAACCCGGGAAAGTTGCTCATCCTTGCCATGCGGGTGGAGTGTGACTCCTCCCCGTCGCACCCCGAGACGTGTCAGCAGGGCGGGCCAGGCGCTTCGCCTGAGACTTCCTCAACTTATATGATTTTGCAATGGGACAATCTGCAAAATATTCACAGCTGGAGGGCGGGTTGTTTTGAAAATGTGGCTCCCGCCTTGGCGCTGCGCACATTCGTCTCCAAAGTTTGCCAACATGTCACGGATGGTGGGCGAATGGTTTTCAAAGTGTGGCTCTCGCCTCAGCGCCGCACACATTCGTCTTAAAGACTGCAAGGGTTTCACAGATGGAGGATGGATCGTTTTCGACACGTGGCTCTCGACTCAACGCCGCGCATATTCGTCGTAACAGTTTGCAAGAGTTTCGCGAATGGAGGGCGGGTGGTTTTCGAAACGTGTCTCTCGCCCGAGCGCACATTCGTCCTAACAGCTTGCAAGAGCTTCACGGATGCAAGGCGGGTGGTTTTTTAAACGTGGCCCCAGCAATAGCGCCTCACACATCCTGGCTCCTTTTCAAAATGTGGCTCTCGCCTCAGCGCCGCGCAAATTCGTCTGCAAACTTTGCACCGAAGTGTCCCTGAAGGTGGGCAGGTGGTTTTCAAATGTGGCTCTCGACTCAGCGCCGCGCACATTCGTTCTAACTCTGTGCTAAAACTTTGCGGATGCAGGGCGGATGGTTTTCAAAATGTGGCAGTCGCCTTAGCACCGCGCGCTTTGGTCCGAAAACATATGCAAGAGCTTCACGGATGTAGGGCGGGTGGTTTTGAAAATGTGGCTCTCGCCTTAACACCTCGCAAATGCGTCGTATCATGTTGCAACCGTTTCGCGGATGGAGGGCGGGTCGTTTTCAACACGTGGCTCGCGACTCAACGCCGCGCATATTCGTCTTGGAAATTTGCAAGAGCTTCACGGAAGGTGTGCAGGTGGTTTCCAAAATGTGGATGTCACCTTGGCACCGCGCGCATTCGTTATGACAGCCTGCAGGAGCTTCACAGATGGAAGGCGGTTCCTTTTCACGATGCTGTCCTCGCCTTAGCGCCGCGCGCTCGTCCTAAAAATGTGCAAGGAGTTCCGCGGATTGTGGGCAGCTGATTCTGAACATATGGCTCTCGCATTGGCGCCTCGCACACTCGTCTTAAGAATGCTGCAAGAAGCTTCACGGATGGACGGCGGGCGGTTTCCAAAAGGTGGCCCCCGCACTGGCACCGCGCACATTCGCAGTGACAGTTTGCAAGAGCCTCATGGATGGAGGGCGGATGGTTTCCAAAATGCGGCTCTCGCCTCAGCGCCGCGCGCACTCGTCTTAAACGATTGCAGAAGATTCACAGATGGAGGGCGGGTGATTTTCAAAATGGCGTTCATGCCTCAGCGCCGCGCCCATTCGTCTTAAGCATTAAAACAAAAGAGCGGATGATTATTGTTGGTGTTCCCGCGCGACTTAGGATTGCCAATGCTTAGCAGTCACGTCGACTTGCGGGGTTAAAGTCCCGGAATGGT